ACCCCCCCCCCCGCCCGCCCCGCCATTACCGCCCCCGGGGCCCGGCCGGGGTCCACACAGACGGTCCTCACTGCTCCGGCTGCGAAGGTTCTGCTCGGTACATGCGATAGACACCTGCATGCCGGCTGGCCAAGGCGGGGGAGGGGGCTCCGAGGGGGCGGGAGGAGGAGGGAACCGGGAAGCCCGAGGGGAGACACCTGGGGGTGTAGTGGCGCGAGCCCTAGAAGAGCGAGAAGGCTGAGGAGTTTGCGGCGGGAGCAGCCAGGCAGGATCCGGCTCGCGGGGGCGGGCTGCTGGAGGTCGCGGGGTTTGCGGCGGAGAGGAGAAACGCGGGGGGGGCGCCACGAGTGGAGCGATTAGGATTCGGGGGTACTGGCGCAGGGAGGAGAGGGGGAAATGGACGAGGGTAAAGGTCGAGGGTTATCCTCGGAGGGTAGGAACTAGGGACGAGGGGGGGCGGAAGAGAGATGCCACCTCAGCCCGAACCGCAGCGGGACCCGATAGACTCCCAGCCGCGTCGGCTGCGGGCCCAGTTTATCAACATGCAGGCACCGCCCCCTCATCTGCATAAAGACGCCCGCCTCCCAGCCAAAACCTGCCGCTCATCTGCATAAGCTCCACCTTCCGGAGCTCAGCAGCTTGGGTGTTCTGTGGGCTCACAGGAACCGGAGAGCAGAACCGGGAGGGTGGTTCTACTCTCTGCACCCCGAGGCCAGTCGGCCTTCCCCCAACCTAGTGGTTTTCAATCGGGGAGCTATTTTCTCCCCTAGGGGACATTTGGCAAGATCTGGAGACATTGTTGACTGTCACGATCTGGGTGCGCGCGCGCGTGTGAGAGAAAGGCATGGAGATGTGCTACCGGCATCTAGTGAGTGGCGGCCAGAACAAAGTACACGGCAGCACCCCCCCCCCCCCCCCCCCCACACACACACCCCAAGATATTATCCAGCCCCAAACGTCAATAGTGCCGCTGTTGAGAAACCCGTGGACAAAGCCTCTTTGCTGGCTCAGGGGATGTGAACACCCTGGTTCACGCCTTCACGAGAGAGGCAGGCCCCGATCGAACAATGAAACTAACACACTCAGGTCGCAGAGGGTGATAAAAAGTTTATTCTGTACTTCTCCCAGCATCAGGTAGGGGATAAAACTGGAGAGAGGGCCTGGTTTGGAGGTGTAGAGACTCCAGTAGGCTTCCTTCCTGTGATGGGAAAGGCACCATGGAGGGCTTTTTAGGCTGTCCCCCTGGGAGGGCTGCCGAGGGGCCTGATGGGGATGGAGGAGCTGGGGCCGTGGGGCTGCCAGTAGGGGCCCTCAAGTGAAACAAAGGGCCCCAGACAGACAGGGATTCTTCTGAGGGGTGAGGTAGAGTGCTTCCTTCAGCCAGCCCGGGCGGAGAAGAAGGGCAGAGAGCGGACGTAGGAGTCCAGTCGGGAGCGGAAGAGCTCACTTTGCACAGTTTGGCCCAGCGGGCACAGGGGATTCTTCACCACCAGCTCCACGTACAGCTGTGGAGGGGGAGGGTGTTAGAGCCAGGCTTTGAACACTTCTTGTTTTCAACCCCAAACCTACTATAACCTCAAGGGTGTGTGAATGCACAGCGATCAAGGGCTGGAAGGCAAACCCTCCTTGGGGAGAAACTGGTGGTGGGAGTGTATAAGGGTCCCAAGAAGTCTGACTTCAATAGAGATACAATACAGTGGGATTAGGGCAGGGAAGCTGAAGGAGTCTTGGGGCTCTAAGTGGCCATGGCTGTTGAAGCTTTGGCGGAAGGGTCCGAGGGGCTGGCACTGACCGCACTGTAGATGTGGTGCAACACATCTCGGATGGGTCCCACGCCCAAGTCAGTGTTCATGACAACCTTGATCCCAGTGGGCGTCTCGTAGTAATGGAGTTTGTAACGGCTAGTCTGGAAGGCCAGGAAGCCGTCCTTCCTGCAGAGATGAGGAGGATGTTAAGGAATAGAAGCGAAATCTCTCCCAAAGAGATTCTTCTGATCTCCTCTAGATTGACTCCCTCTTCTCTAAACATGTCGTTTGTAGGAGCCTGGTTGACTAAAGACACCTCCCATCTTCACCCCTCAATTTAGCCCCGTTGCCCAACCTCTGTACCTTCAGATCTTCCCCACCGCCGCTCCTGCCAGCTCCTGCACTCTCGCCCCGGACTCAGCCTCTCTCTGTGTCTCCTTACCCTCTCTGGGGGCCAAAGCCTCTTCCACTCCAGAAAGTCTCCCCCACCCCCAAATTCCCTCCCTCCCTCAACAACCCCTCTGACTACGCGTACATGTCTAGCGGGGACATCTTGCTGACAAACGAGCGGATAGAGAAGAGCATCCCGTACATCAGCTTGTACTCCTGGAGGGAGAGGGGCAGAGTTAGCTCTCGGTTTTTAAAGGAGCCAGGGTTGGGATGGGAAGGAGCCAGGGTTTGGAGAGAAGAAGCTCGACTGGGACAATGTGCATTTGGAGATGTGAGGTCACCCGGGTTGCGCGGGGCCCTCTCGTCACCTCCTCCTTGGGGATCCCCGCTTGCTTCTTGCGGTGCCACTCGCTGTAATGCAGACACACTCCATTCCGGTCAAACAGGTACAGGTTGTGGACAGTCATCTGCAGGGCAGAGAATGTGAGCCTCACTCCGGGACCGCCCACACCCCGTAGGCTCCAGTTCTTAGCCCGGGATCCCTCCAACCAGACGGGGACCCCTCCCCCGAACTCACCGGAACTTCTCCGAGTGCCCGTCACTCGATACTTCCGGTTTCCGCGGAGCCCCGCCCCACCGGGTCTACACGCTCTAGCGGCAGAGAAATAACCCCGCCCCTATACCTCTCTAAACCAATCCGTGGTGGTCGGATACGCGCACGCGCGTCCAGGCTCTCCGGCTCCAGAAGCTGTGAGAGCGGTTGAAAACAAGGTGTCCTGGGCTGGTGACGTCATCGAGGCGAGCGAGGCGGGGCTGCGGACGGTGGGCGGGAGGCTGTCAACGGTTTTAATTGTAGGGAAGGGCGCGAGAAGTGGGTTGTCTTGGTGTTGCCGAACTGGGGCTTAAGGGAGGGGGCAGTCCCTTGTCCCCACCTTTGCCGACTGCGTGGCCGAGGACTGGAGGTGTGGAGAGTAGTTGGAACGGGGTGGTCGGGGTAGGGGATCTCAGGCTAGGCTTGAGCGCGGCGTACTTTTTAGGGACGTCTGAGGGCGTGACCGAGTGTTCACCAAGTTTCTTTGGGGATAGTAGGGAGGGAGGGATTCTAGGGACCTTGCTATGGCTTTCTTGACAGGAGGGATCGGAGGGGATATACTAGAGAGTTGACCCTGGGTAGAGCGAGTGCAGTGGGAGGAGAGGGGAGGTGGGGAGCATGAGGTTCCTGCCCCTCTGAGACCACAGCCAGCTGAGGGGCAAATAAGGCAGCTGGACGGAAATTAGGCCTCTGTTGGATTGGGGTCCGTTTCAGTTTGCACGTTCTGGGTGTGAAAACTTAAGAGCTCAATTGACCAGTGATAGCCTGTGCCAGAAGTCGATCTGCAGCTTTCAGTGCTCCAGAGGAACTGCAGCAGGTCTGTCCCCACCCTCTCCTTGCTGCACCCTCCTTTTCCACTGTTACCAGGAGCTGTGGAAAGAAATCCTTTTGCCCTCTCCCATGGCCTCTGGAACCGTTGGAAACCTTTCCTCTAACCAGAAAGGCTCCATACCCTCATTCAACAAGAATCCTTCACTTGGAGTCTTCCTCCTTTCTCCCAAATCTTCCTTCTCGGGGTACTTTCCCCCTGGGCTCTCCTAAAGCAGAACCAGGAGTTCCCAGCTCTGCTGTCTCCAGTTGTCTCTTCCCTGTACTCATGGCAACATCAGCTACCAGCCCCAGTTCACCTCTCCGGGCCAAGGATCTCCTGAGTGATTCATCAGAAGCCCCTGGGCTGAACCAAGCATCCTCTGAGGTGACCTCCCAGCTGTATACTTCTTTGCACCTCAGTCGTCAGGCAGAGAGCACAGCCCGAGCCCAGCTGTTTTTGCCCGCCACCTTCCCACCTCCTCCTGAGGTGTTAGATGGCTTGGCCCAAGAACTGAGTCACAGCTTGTCGGTTGGATTGGAGAACAACTTGGAGAAGAAGGTGAGGGAGGTGTGTCTTGGAAACCTCTAGGGCTTGGGATCAGGGGTGGTAAAAAAAAAATAGCTTTACTGAGACTTGAACTCCTATTGTTGGATTCCAAATTCCTTTTAACTACACAGTCAGTCATGCTTGTTCCTGGGAACAAATGTTTATGAGGGAGGCAGTGGCCTGGGCCACCATAATTTGGGAAGTTGTGAAACTACTAGCTCTTTTTTTTTTTTTTTTTTCCTTCAGAGACACCTGTGGGATAGGTTGCTGTGCTTTAACTGGGATGTGGGTGCTGGGAGTGAGGATAACATTTCTTCATCCCAAGAGGGAACTAGGACTTAAGGAAAATATGCTGAGATCCAGCTCAAAACTCTCTTGATCATATGGTTCAAAATTTGGCATGTAAATCATTAAAACATAGTTTAATCAGTTATACATGTTATAGATAGATAGTGTCAGACAGAGCAGGTATCATAACCAATCTGCAGACTGGTTAGGCCGCCCAGAGTTTGAAAAACTGATAGCCATGGACTACAGAGTCTTTAGACAGGATATTTGCTCTCTAGTTGGCAAGAATCCTCACTACTCTTGTCTTAAGGTGCCCAATTAATTCATTTACATTACCTGTCTGGCTTCTGTAGACATTTGAGTTTCTTACTAGGTCAGTCCTATTTTTCTTGTTTTCCCAGATGTGAGAGTAAAAATTCTTGGGCCTTAGGGGCTACTGGATGCCATCTACCCTGACAGTAGGTAGATTATGGATTATTGCGTCTGATTTCCATGTTGCTTTTTCTAGGATGGTTCCAAGCATATCTTTGAGATGGAAAGTGTTCGGGGTCAACTCCAGAGCATGCTCCAAACCTCACGAGATATGGCCTATCGTGAGTGAACCCCTTCCCTATAAAGGAAAACCTAGATTTAAGGGGTGGGAAAAAGTGGAGGAAGGAAGCAGGGTGTGTGGGGGGTGGCGACCTCGACCTCGGAGATAAGAGATTTCTGGAGGAAAGGTTCCCGTTCTTTGGGAGAGGGCAGGAGGAGTGGCTGAAGTAGAAAGGAAGGACCTCTTCTTCAAGTGGTCCCTGTTCCTGTCCTTACCTGACCCTGGCTGTGGGCCTCTCTGGCTGCCCACAGAGGATCCCGCTACTCCAGGTGCCGGCTCAGAGAGACGGGAAGAGGACTCCTTTGACAGTGACAGCACGGCCACCTTACTTAAGTGAGTTTTCCTTGGGGTTCTCGCAGCTGACTTCCTTTCTTTCTTGGAAAGCCAAGTGTTCTAGTGCTTAGTTCTCCCTTTACTGCTTTTGTGTCTCTTAAGGACCTAAGATGCTTGTCACTTAGCTTTCAGTTTTCATCCTTTCTCTCCTTTCTTCTATCCCCTTTCCTCCTTTGGGAACATGGGCATCTGCTGCTTAGTACCTGGCTCTCTCCCAGCTTCTAGTCCTTCTTCCTCCAGAAGAGCTAGCTTGTTTCTGCTGAGACTTGTACTGCAGGGAGTGTGGAATAGAGGATGGAGCACTATAGAGTGAATCACAGAACCTGCGTGCTATCTATGGCTCTATCACTTATCTACCTAGCTTTGCAACTTTGGGCAAGTCTCCCGCCCTGAGTTTCAGTTTCCTCATTTGTAAAATGTCACAGTTGGGCTAGTGGATCTCAAAAGCTTTCCCAACCCTAATATTCTCTACCTGATTTGCTCAGCACCCGGCCCCTGCACGACTTATCTCCATCTAGCTCAGCCCAAGCCCTGGAGGAGTTGTTTCCCTGCTACACCAGCCTTCGGTCAGGGCCCCCACTCAATCCCCCGGATTTTCAGGGGCTGAGAGATGCACTGGATTCAGAGCATACCCGTCGCAAGGTGAGATATAAAGGCTTCCTTTTGACAGCAGCAAAGATTAGAAAAGGGGCTGAAGGTTAAGGGCCTGCAGGCTGGGACTTTGCTCAAATGGCTCTGCTGGAAGGCAGGCCTTCTTTGACCATCCTAGCTAGGATGGCACACCTTCCCTCCAGGTATTATTCCCTCAGATCATTCTGTTATTTCCTTCATGTAGTTTATCAAAGTCTGATATATCTTGTTTGTTTTCCCCCTCTAAAGCCTAAGCTCCATGCAGGTCACAGGTTATTTTGTTCAGCACTTTCTTCCTAAAGCATAGATTATACCGAACACATAGAAATACCCTGTGCATGTTTGGTGAATGAACAACAAACTTTGTTGGCTTGTGCAAAGCTACCAGTGATGTAATGAGCTTTGTTTCTGTGAGCCTCAGCCTATCCGAAGCGGGCAGAGAGAGGGACAAGGCAGAGGAAGAGTCAGAATTGTTGGTTGTGTTGTCATTTTTGGAACCTTCTCTTCCTCCATTTTAAATTGCCTGGCCATGAATGAAAGGCTTTCCCCTTTATCCTTGCCATGTTGAATCGTTGTGTCCAATATGCTTCTTAGGGCAGGAGTAACTTCTCACTCTTTGCAGCATGGGCTGCTGCACCCCTGCCAAAAGGTTCATGGAAATTTTTCCCAGGAGATCTGGAAACGGGAAGAGGCTGGAAACTAAGCCCCTGCTTCCTGAGGTGGTAGAGGAAGGTGTTGGAGGTCTTAGGCTCCAGGATTGCTGATTCTCCTTCCCCAAACCTGTTCTGTTCTTGGGACCCAGGCTCCCTGTCCCAGCCCATTTCCCCTGTAGAGGAGCTGGAAAGTTCGGAGCTTTGGTCAGACTAAGGATGGCAACATCCAGACTCCTCATCCTTCTTCCCAGCATTGTGAGCGCCACATTCAGAGCCTGCAGACCCGCGTGCTAGAGCTTCAGCAACAGTTAGCTGTGGCCGTGACTGCCGACCGCAAGAAAGATATCATGATTGAACAACTGGACAAGGTGCCAGGGTAGTGGAACGCGGGTGGGTCTCTCCATGGGGGGCACCAAGGAATAGTAAATAGGGGGAGGCCAACCAACATTTCTTTGTTCATGTTAGGAGCTGGGGTAAGTGGTGGGTTAACTGACCACTGGGAGAAGGTGGCTGTTGACCCTGCTCCTGTGGGCAGAAAGAGGGCAAAAAAATTATTTGAAATTCTATCTGACTTTCCTGAGACCCTGGCCCGCGTGGTGGAGGGCTGGAACCGGCATGAAGCTGAGCGGACAGAGGTGCTTCGGGGACTCCAGGAGGAGCGCCAGGCAGCTGAACTCACTAGAAGCAAGCAGCAGGAGGTGTGCAACCTGGGTCATGGGGCTTTAGAACGTAGGTCAGCGACGGCTGGATGGGAGAGGGTAGAAGCAGCTCTGGAGTCAGGGTTCCTGACAGATTGACCTCAATCTTGCCATAGCAGGCCTGACAGTTCTCCTCGCTTCCTCTCCCTTCAGTGTTTCTGCTGTCAAACTTGCATAGTTGATGTCTTCTCAGCTTTCCTCACGCCATGTGGTCTTCTCTCTGGCCCCCAAGTCATTTAGTTAACTCTTGCTTTTAGAGTTTATGTTGTTAATGATTTTCGAAGTACAGGGATTCCCCTCAGTTCCTCCGTCCTGTGTTCCTCTCTCCTTGAAAGACAGTAACCCGCCTGGAACAAAGCCTTTCTGAGGCCATGGAGGCCCTGAATCGTGAGCAGGAAGGTGCCAGACTGCAGCAACGGGAAAGGGAGACACTGGTGAGAATGCTTCCTGGGTTAATTCCAGTAGAGGCTGTTAATTACTTCTAGAGGGTTACAGGCTTTTGATGGATTGTGGGAGTTCATAATTTGAGTTGCACCAGGGCAAAGTGTGTTCTTTAAAACACAAGTTCTGGGGGCTTCCCTGGCGGTCTAATGGTTGAGACCCTGTGCTTCCACTGCAGGGGGCACAGGTTCAATCCCTCCTCAGGGAACTAAGATCCCACATGCCTCGGTGGCATGGCCAAATAGATAAATAAATACATACATAAAAGAAGATTTTTAAAAAAAACAAAAGCACTAGTTCTGCTAGATACTCTACAGAAAGTAAGCTCTGCCACCAAGTAAGTGTTAGAGACTCAGCAAATTGTATCTTCATTAAAATCATTTGGATGATTTTTGTTTGTTTGTTTTGTTTTGTTTGTTCTTTTGTGTTTTTTTTGCGGTACGTGGGCATCTTACTGTTGTGGCCTCTCCCGTTGCGGAGCACAGGCTCCGGACGCGCAGGCTCAGCGGCCGTGGCTCACGGGCCCGGCCTCTCCGCGGCATGTGGGATCTTCCTGGACCGGGGCATGAACCCGTGTCCCCTGCATGGGCAGGCGGACGCTCAGCCATTGCGCCACCAGGGAAGCCCTGGATAATTATTTTAAAATACAGATTTCTGACCCTTTCCCAGAGGTTTTGATATATGGGGGGTTGGGGAGCCTAAATATTTTCAGAAATTTCCTAGGTGATTTCGTTCAGCCAGGTTTGAGAACCCTGGTCTATGGCAGACCAGAAAAGGTATGGGATGAGACTTACTTAAGTTTTTAATTGCTGAAATGATAAGATTACCCATATGAATTAGTAGCCAGGTTTAGAATTTCTTGCATGCATGACACATGCTTGCTACATGCATTCTGGTACTTATATTCCTAACAGGCTACATCCAAGAGCACTGATGGTGGCTTCTGGTTGGCTAGTACATATTCGTAGGCTGGATTTTCTAGTCTTTGTGGAATTTCTTTTGATGACGATGGTGATAGCTGTTGTATATTGAGTACTTACTACATGCCAGACACTGTGCTAAATTCTTTACATACGCTTTTAACTTTAATCCTCACGAGGTAGACTGTAATATGCCCACTTTACAGATAAGGATGTGTGCCTCAGAACACAAAGTAAATGCAGAGCTGGAATTCAAACTGAGATTTGAACCCAAATCTACCTAACTCTGGAGCAGAAGCTCTTATTTACCATATAATCTTGTGGGCTTGTTAACTATGGTATTTTAACGGATATAATCCTCAGCAGGCACATTGTATGGGGGTAAGGGGGCAGATTGCTGGTCTCTTGAGGGCATGCTAAGGATCTTGGTTTTCTCCTGGGGCTATAGGAAGAGGAAAGGCAAGCTCTGACCCTGAGCTTGGAGCTGGAACAGCAGCGGTGCCGGGCCCTGCAGGAAGAACGGGATGTGGCTCGGGCTGGGCAACTCAGTGAGCATCAACAGTTGGAGACACTTCAGGTGGCCCTAGAAGAAGAACGGCAGACCTGGGCCCAGAAGGAGCATCAGCTTAAGGAATGCTACCAGGCACTGCAGGAGGAGAGCCAGGCTCAGTTGGAAAGGGAGAAGGTAAAAGTGGCACTTGGGGAATGGGGGAACAGATGAAGGACAAAATAATTGAATGAGACGGATGTCAGAAAACGCGAGGTAGTGGACTGGGATGGAGAGTGAAGAACTATATGTGGGAGAGAAGATTGAGAGTGTAGGGCCTGCAGGAAGGGGTGGGGGCATCAAATACATGGAAGGTTGAAGAGTGAGATTCAACAGAGATGAGGAAATAGGTCACATATGAGGAGAGAGGAAGCTTGGTTTTTAGGGTACGGGAGGATGAATTGGGGAATAGAGGTAACCGGGAGACAGGCAATGAGGTACAAACTTAAGTTTGATTTCTTTTTCTTTTGGGAACACCCAGAGGGAGGCCCAGGCAGCCCGGGAGGCCCAGCAGCAGCTGGCATTGGTGCAGTCTGAGGTGCGGCGGTTGGAAGGAGAGCTGGACACAGCTCGGAGAGAGAGAGACGCCTTGCAGCTGGAGATGAGCCTGGTGCAGGTCAGGAGGCAGAGGTTCTTGAGGAGAGTTCCTGGTGAGAAGACGTAGGTCTGAGGCAGAGTGACTTTCAGGAGTCAGGCAAACACTGCCATTTCTAACTAGAATTTTGACCTTTATGGGCCTCTGTTTTTATGCATAAAATGTGTGCTAAGGGCACATTAATGAGTTTCTGAGAGACTTTTTTCCTTATTATAATGGTTGACTTAAGGAGACACCCAGTTTCTGGGTTAGTGAGGCCAGTGTTTGAGAGAACACACTTTTACTTTTCACCTGGCCCATCGAGTTGGAGGGCTGACCACATGGAAACTAATTTATCATGGAGGACCAAGGGTGAAGACATTAGTAAAAACTTCAGTAGCAACTTATACGCTGCTGTACCCCCTGAACTGATGCTAGCTGTGCGTGTCTATGTGGGCATTCAGTATGTAAGCTCTGTGCTGGCATAGTCCTAACACAATAGCCCCGGTCAACAAGGAGCTCACCAGATAGATGGGGAGTTTGTCTAGCACACACATTTTCGAAGGAGTATGATAAACAAGAATTTAGAGTAAGGAGAACTACTCTTTACTCAGACGTCATCTTCCTAGTGAGTTCTTCCCCAACCACACTGAGTAAAATCTGCAACCCCTGACAATCCCTGTTTCCTTCCCTGTTTAATTTTTCTCCTACTATACTACATAATATACCTTTTTATTTATTTTACTTAGTATTTAATTTTTTTAAATTGAAGTATAGTTGACTTACAATATTATATTCGTTTCAGGTGTACAGCACAGTGATTTGATATTTTTATATATGTTACAAAGTGATTATCATGATAAGTCTAGTTACCATTTATCACCATTCGAAGTTATTACAATATCATTGAATATTCCCTATGCTGTGCATTATATCCCTGTGACTTATTTATTTTATAGGTGGAGGTTTGTACCTCTCGATCCCCTTCACCAATTTCACCCATTTCCCCACTCCACCTCCCCCATAGTGTATCTTGTTTATTTTCTGTAAGGTGCACGAGGGCAATGATTTTTGTCTATTTACTGTTAAATCCCAGAGTAGCGCCTGGCTTTAGTGTTGTTCATGTCCTCCATTTCGTTATTGTTCCATCGATTATTAAAAGTGGGGTATTGGGGCTTCCCTGATGGCGCAGTGGTTGAGAGTCCACCTGCCGATGCAGGGGACATGGGTTCATGCCCCGGTCCGGGAAGATCCCACATGCCGCGGAGCGGCTAGGCCCATGAGCCATGGCCACTGAGCCTGCGCGTCCGGAGCCTGTGCTCCGCAACGGGAGAGGCCACAACAGTGAGAGGCCCACGTACCACACACACACACACACACACACACAAAAAGTGGGGTATTGAAGTCTCCAGCTGTGGTTGTAGAACTGTCTGTTTTCTCCCTTCAATTCTGTCATTTTTTTCCTTCATATATTTTGGGGCTCTATTAGGTGCACATATATTTATAACTGCTATACCTTCTTAATATAACCTTTTTGCTTAAAATCTATTTTGTCTGATACTAATATAGCCCCCACCCCATTTTTTGTTTACTATTTGCATGGACTGTCTTTTTTCATCCTTTTACTTTCAACCTTTTTGTGTCTTTGTAAAGTGAGTCTCTGGTGGACAATGTATAGGTGCATCATGTTTTTTTTTTAATCCATTATGTCAATTCCTGCCTATTAATTGGAACATTTAATCCGTTTACATTTAAAGTAATTATTGATAAGGAAGGACTTCTGCCATTTAGCTGTTTGGTTTTTTATGTCTTAAATGTTTTTGTTCCTCAGTTCCTCCATTACTGCCTTTTTTTTTTTTTTTGATAGTTTGTTGATATTTTTGTAGTATACTGTTATCTTTTCCTCTTTCCTTTTTTGTATATTTTTTAAGTTATTTTCTGAATGGTTACCTTGGGATTACAATTAACATCTTAAAGTAATAATAACCTAGTTTGGATAATACCTACTTTAGTTTCAGTAGCGTATACTCTGTTCCTATATGTCTCTGTCCCTCCGCCTTCATATAGTTATTGTTACAGATGTGTAATTATTGTTTTATGCCTTTGCCTTTTAAATCATATTGGAAAAAAGGAGTTACAAACCAAAAGTACAATAATATAGGTTTATATTTGCCTATGTAGCAACCTTTATCAGTTGCTTCATATGGCTTTATTTCTTCATATGGCCTCAAGTTACTGTCTAATTTCATTTCATTTCAGCCTGAAGGACTCCCTTTAGAATTTCTTGTAGGTCAGGTCCACTAGTAATGATCACCCTTAGCTTTTATCCATCAGGGAATGTTTTAATTTCTCCTTCATCGTTGAAGGATTTTCCTCACATTCCCCTCGCCCTCCCCATATAGAATTCTTAGTTGACAGTCGTTTTTCTTTAAAACATGTTGGGACTTCCCTGGTGGCGCAGTGGTTAAGAATCCGCCTGCCAACGCAGAGGACACGGGTCCGAGCCCTGGTTCGGGAAGATCCCACATGCTGCGGAGCAACTAAGCCCGTGCGCCACAACTACTGAGCCTGTGCTCTAGAGCCTGTGAGCCACAACTTCTGAGCCCACATGCCCCAACTACTGAAGCCCATGCGTCTAGAGCCCATGCTCCGCAACAAGAGAAGCCACCGCAATGAGAGGCCCGTGCACGGCAACGAAGAGTAACCCCCACTCGCCACAACTAGAGAAAGCCCGTGCGCAGCAACGAAGACCCAATGCAGCCCAAAATAAATAAATTTTAAAAAAAACAAAAAACAAAAACAAAAAAACATGTCATTCCACTACCTTCTGGCCTCCATGATTTCTTAGGAGAAATCAGCTATTAATCTTATTGAAGCTCCCTGGTAAGTGACAAATTGCTTCTCTCTTGTTGCTTTCAAGATTCCCTCTTTGGCTTTTGATAGTGTGACAATAATGTGTCAGTGTGGATATCTTTGAGTTTATCCTGCTTAGAGATTGTTGAGTTTCTGGAATGTGTGGATTTATGAATTTTATCAAATTTGGGAAGCTTTTGGCCATTATTTCTTCAGATATTTTTTCTCTCTTTCTCTTGACTTCCCTAGTGCATATGTTGGTATGTTTGATGATGTCCCACAGGTCCCCAGGTTTTATTCATTTTTCTTCATTTTTTTTTTTTCTTTCCACTCATCTGACGGGATAATTTCAGTTGCTTATCTTCAAGTTCATTGATCCTTTCTTCTGCCTGCTGACATCTGCCATTGAGCCCCTGTAGTGATTTTTTTTTAAAATAGATTTTAGGGCTTCCCTGGTGGCGCCGTGGTTGGGAGTCTGCCTGCCAATGCAGGGGACGCGGGTTTGCGCCCTGGTCTGGGAAGATCCCACATGCCGCGGAGCAACTGGGCCCGTGAGCCATGGCCGCTGAGCCTGCGCGTCTGGAGCCTGTGCGCCACAACAAGAGAGGCCGCAATAGTGAGAGGCCCACGCACTGCAATGAAGAGTGACTGCCGCTTGCCACAACTAGAGAAAGCCCTCGCACAGAAATGAAGACCCAACACAGCCATAAATAAATTAATTAATTAATAAAAAAAAAAAGTTAAAATAGATTTTGTTTTTTAGAGCAGTTTCAGATTCACAGCAAAACTGAGTGGAAGGTACAGAGATTTCCCATATACTTCCTAACTGCAGCCCCCCACAGCTTCCCCTATTAGCAGCATCTCCCACCAGAGTAGTACATTTGTTACAGTTGACACATCATTATCACCTAGAGTCCATAGTTTACATTAAGGTTCACTCTTGCTGTTGTACATTATATGAGTTTGGACAAACTTATAATGACAGGTATCCACCTTTATAGTATCATACTTAGTTTCACTGTTCATCGCTTCCTCCCTTTAACCCCTGGCAACCACTGATCTTTTTACTTTCTCCATAGTTTTGTCTTTTCTGGAATGTAATATAGTTGGAATCATATAGTATGTAGCCTTTTCAGATTGGCTTCTTTCACTTAGTGATATGATTTTTTTCCATGTCTTTTCATGGTTTGATAGCTCACTTCTTTTTAGTGGTAAATAATATTCCATTGTCAGTTTATCTTTTCACCTACACATCTTTGTTGCTTGTAAGTGTTGGCAGTTTTGTTGGGTTTTTTTTAAATGTTTATTTATTTATTTATTTGGCTGTGCCAGGTTTTAATTGCGGCACGTGGGATCTTCGTTGCCACCTGCAGGATCTTTAGTTGCAGCATGTGGGATCTTTTAGTTGCGGCATGCAAACTCTGAATTGCGGCATGTGGGGTCTAGTTCCCTGCAGGGATCGAACCAGGGCCGCCTGCATTGGGAGTGCAGAGTCTTAGCCACTGGACCACCAGGGAAGTCCCAGTGTTGGCAGTTATGAGTAAAACTTCTGTAAACATTCATGTGCAAGTTTTTTGTGTGAACTCCTTTGGGTAAATACCAAGGAGTGTGGTTGCTGGGTCATATGGTAAGGGCGCGTTTAGTTTTGTAAGAAACCACTATAGTGTCTTCCAAAGCGAGTGTACCATTTTGCATTCCCATCAGCAATGAATGAGCGTTTCTGTTGTTCCACATCCTCACCAACATTTGGCATGCCAGTGTTCTGGATTTTGGCCATTCTAGTAGATGTATAGTGGTATCTAGTGAATTTTTCATATCATCAGTTGTACTTTTCAGCTCCAGAATTTCTATTTGGTTCCTATTTATAATTTCAATCTCTTTAAATCTCTTTATTGACACCCCCTATTTGTTCATACTTTGTTCTGATTTCCTTTAGTTTATTGTCTAAATAGCTCATTGAGCATATTTAAGACTGTTGATTTTACGTCTTTGACTAGTAATCCCAATGTCTGGGCTTCCACAGGAAGAGTTCCTGTTACATTCTCTTTTTCCTTTGAATGAGTCATATTTTCAAGATTTTTTTTTTTGGTATGTTTTGTAATCTTTTGTTGAGAGCTGTATATTTTGAGTATTATAATGTAGTAACTCTGGAAATCACATTTTCTCCCTCCTCAGGGATTTCTTTTGAC